AAGATATAGAGAATCTTGGTTGGTACTGGTGAGACACAGGCCATCATATGGAACCAGGGAAGCCCATATGGCCCATATGAAGGTTTTGACCACTGTATCACCCCAGATGGCCATGAGGCGAGCATCTACTCAATCAGGTGACTCAGGAGGATCCAGGAGCCTCAGTGTGGCTCAGAGTGCTCAAACCTGCATAACACCCAATTATTTGGATGCATGCTTTTGCTCATAGTCCTAAGAATTGAATGTATGAATTGAATACCATCTCCATAGACCTGTAGCTCCCTTGTTCCTTTGCAGTAGATACTATCTTGTTGAGGCTGAGCAGTGGCAATGAGAGGTAAGCTGATAGCATTCGCTAGGCTGCCCAGCATCGTGACAGAATAACATCGTACCAGCTCTAGGAGCTGGAAACTCTGTAAGCAGAGGAGACCCTGTGGCCATCCTCACTCTCTTGTGGATCTACCCTGATCTTTTCAAGAAGTTATTGATTAAACAGTCGCAAATAGCATCACAGAGAAGCTATTGCTACAGACGAACAGGCCCAGTGAAATCAGAGCTCGAGTCCAAGTTGGAGATCTCTCAAGAATTCCTACCTTTTTGACTCCTACTGACACCACACAGCCATTTCTGTTGTTATTCGAGGCACCAGTGGATCCGCAGGGTCTGAATTACCCAAGGACAAGTCTCTACAAGCCTCCAAAGGTCGAAATCGAGCCGGCTACCAACTCGAGGTCCACCGAATCGACCGATCGAACGATCCGTACGGAAAAGGGTTGATTTTCGAGGATTTTGTGAGCCGGAACCAGTCAAGTCATCAAGTGCACTCGAAGAGTTAAAGTACTGGTCACACGGAAGCGGATAGGTACCCTGAAACGGTCACGAAGAATCGACGAAGCTCTACGGTTCTCGTACCGCTCCTACTGGTCACACGGAAGCGGATCAACCAATCAGACGCCGTGCAGTTTCAGATTCTGACCGGTAGGATCGTCGCCGTAGTTTTCGTTGTTCTTTGAGTTCTCTTACCAGTGTCCGTGCAGTTTTCGTGTCTTCACTTTCCACGGATTCTCGTACAGGTCACGGCACGAATCGTTAACTCTTCGAAGTCACTCGAACGATCGGATCGCTTCCACGGAAGCCCAGGAAGCCCACGGAACACTCTGAAGACTTAGAGTAATCCCTCCGAAGACTTATACAGGAGCGCAACGTGTTTACGCCGTTTTCACACGGATTACATCATTTTTTGGTGATTTCAGCTTAGCCTTTCAGTAAAGCACATGGTAAACAAGTCGAAGAAGAGGAGGAAGGAAAGGAGGATGGCAGCTGCCAATGCTGCAGAGCTTGCAGCTACCCCTCAAGGTAGCAACCACCACCCACCACCATTCTCCCCATCCTCCTGCTGTTGATGTTGATGGTTCAGTGGCTACCTCAACCCATGATGGGAACAGGATCCCCCATCGCTCCCACCTGATGCCAAAACACCTCCTTCCACCACCGATGCTATGATTCAAACTATCCTCTATGCGTTTGGAGATGCAAGCAAGCATCTATGAGGCGAGCACTCTTTGTGGGGGAAAGCCATTGGCAAGCGCCAAGTGATTGATGGATCTGCTTTGAGGGCACAGCAAGCGATGTCGCCGCTCTCACAAGCGCATGGAGGAGCGCCACCAGGACCTTAGACTTCATTCATCCAACAGCTTGAAGAAGTCCATCAATCAGCTTGATGCGAGGGTCTACAACAACACTTGGACTACATGTGAGATCAGCCATAGGTTCTAATGAACCGAGCTTGGCTTCAACAATCCGTCCCTGTAGCCCATGAACCACATGGTGTTGAGAAGCAGGAGAAGGCGTTTAACAAGCACTTGGCCGAGAATCAAGGAGGACCCACTGCACTCACTACCAACACCATGCCTGGAGCACAGCCTGAAGGTGATGTTGCTTTGAAACAGGAGGCAGATGACTTCATTGATGTTGCCAACTACCTCACTGGCAATGGAGTCCACACTGCCAAGGTTCCTGCCAAGGTTCCTGTCAAGGTTCCCTCCATGGAGGAGGAAGCATTCAAACCAAACCCACTCCAATACACCCCAGTCACTGGGGCTCCTCCACCCTTTACCATCCCTAGAATCACCATCCAACAAACTGACTACACGAGGCAACCAGACGTCATCTTTCCTGATCTTCCACCACCTGTTCAGCAGACACACTACAGTTGCAGGTATGGCTTCAATTGGGTTGGGGAGAGAGTCTGGATCAGGTACCCACACCCACTTGATGCCTCCCAGCTACCATCCAATGTAGCCATGACCCCTGAGCACTGTTTGGGGAGGATGTACCCCCATGGACAGTTCCTACACCACACAGGTGAATGGGAACAACACATGAAGCACCAGCTCCCAACCCAGCTTCCAACCCCTTCACCTTCACCAGGGCCCAACCATCAAACCCCCTTCCAGATCCTTGACAAGGCACTGCTTGTTCCACATACCATGTGGGTACCAGTAACATAAGGCAGACAGTTTGTTCTCACACTCACCACGTTGATCCCATGGATCCAACCCACATTTTATCGCCCTGTGTGCTCACAATTCTTAGTTTAGCATAACAAATAAGTGTACCTGTTGACCAGGACAAAGGATTGTACCTATTGCACCTGATAGCACCTGCTATTTGCACCCAAACTACCTTGAAACCCGTCTTGAGTTGACCTCAAGACTTTGCCAGGGCGGAGGCTTATGGCATTCTCTCCACTACTTGCCTTCTTCGGCGATTGCTGGAGTTCTATGACCGAACCAGCATGAAAACTTATGTGCACCTGTGCGACAATGAATCCGTTACCAACAAGTGTGCTGGCTGTCTGGATTACGAGGGCTGGTACCCCAATGATTCCTTGGACTCCGACTGGGATGTCTTGCAGCAGATCGAGGATTCTTTTCGGGCTGCCGTCACAGTGCCCAAGATGGATCACATCAAATCGCACCAGGACAAGCACAAGGCCATTGAAACACTACCTTTGAAGGCTCAACTGAACTGTAGAGCTGACAAACTTGCAGGCAGTTACATGACCAGACACATCAAACAGGACCACTCCAAGGTGCTCCGGTTTCCGGCCAACTTGGCCCAGCTGCACCTTCCCAAAGGAACATGCACATACAAGCTTCCCAGAACACTGCGGCATCTCAGGAACGACCAGCCCTTGTTCGACCACATTGTCAAACTGAATCCAGATTGGGACGAGGACACCCCGGCACTGGTTGATTGGACAGCCCATGGTCGTGCTGTCAACCGACATGAGATCCACAAACCAACAATTGTGAAGTTCCTATTTCAATTGTTGCCAGTTGGGAAACGGATACACCGCGATGACCCCAAGTATGATCACCACTGTCCCCGTTGCGGCGGTGATCACGAGACTGAGACCCATGTTTACAGATGCCCGCATGTTGACGTGGAACTGTGGCGAGGGACCATGCAACGAGCGATCAGTACAAAGTTGCGCAAGGACTCAACAGACCCCTTCCTCCTGGAAATTGTTCTGGATATAGGCTTCAATACCACTTTGAAGACCGGTTCCTACACCCGTGGCATTACCCGGAGCGGTATAGGGATCTCATTGACACTCAAAATCTCATTGGTTGGGATAACTTCCTGAGAGGACGTTTGTCCAAGCACTGGGTCACGCACCAAGATGCCTATTTGCACCGGGTCGGCTCCAAGGAGACCACCAAGACCGGGCAGCTTTGGGTCACCAACCTGGCCTCTGTTCTGATCCAGCAGTGGTGGAATCTCTGGGAAGACCGCAATGCCGCCAGGCACGGCAGGGATCAGGAACAGAAATGGCGCAAGAAACACGAACAGCTCCAACGAGAGGTCGAGCTCCTGTATGAAAAAGCGGACCTGCTCCCAGAGCATCTTCTTGATACCATCTTCAAACGACCCCTGGAGGAACAGATGGCCAAAGGGCCGGGAGATATCAAAGCATGGCTGGCCAATTGGCTTCCAGTTGTGGACAAAGCAATGAGGGACGAGCATGCACGTGAGCAGCCTCCCCGTTTTTTTTTTTGTGTTGTCCAGATGATTTTGAGGGCAAGAATGCAAGTCTTGGGTTGTTCAGTCAATCTTCCACAGAAGATATAGCTGCAAAAGTAGAGCCGTTGTGGCTTGTTTCTTTGGAGCTTGGCAATGCTGGCATATTGCTGTCTGCTGCAAATGTTTCTGCCAGATCTCCCTTGATGTGTGACTGCTTTTCCTTTGGCAGGAACTCTAGCTGACCACTTTGTTAAGGGTTGTTAAACCTTGCTTGGATAGTTGCAAGAGCACTAGAAGCAGAATCCATGTTGGCCATATCATCACTCTTGCTGTTGTCATGTTTGTTCTTGTCATCATTTTGGACCTGGTGACTCTCTTTGGCCGCTGGTTTTCGGTCGTCCACCTCTTTGCTGTCGGTCTTTGTGACGGAATTGGCCTGCCTAGCGGTGGCTGAGGCAATTTCTGTGGAAAGAACCGTTTCCTCAACCGATATTCTTCCATCAATACTCAACGTGGCGACAGGCGGAGACTTGGAACAACTCATTGCCTGAGCTGCGGCTCGACTGCCGGTACTATCAGTGGTGTATGTCCCAGTAGAATCTCGGGTTGATCCCACTGCTGCATCGCCGGAAGGCAATGGCGGTTGTTTACTGCCCAAAGTTCTTTCTGGAGGAGGGAGTTCTCCACTGCCACCCTTGGTTCCACTATTTCCGGGAGAGATGTCGTTGAACAGCGTAGGATTCTCGGATTCATCGTTCACCGGAGAATCTTTGTTGTTGTTGGGAGGTGGTTTGTTGTTGCGCATGCTTACTTCCGTCTGATCGATCCGACAGCTGAAAGGGTATCAAATACATTTAATTTACCTAGCTAGCTTGGCTCGAGCGACCGTACCAGCCAGTGGTTGAAGGACGAGCTGGCGTCGAGCTGTCGAGCTTCTCACAGCCAGTCTCCTAACAGCAACAAGCCAGATATAGCCTATCAATAATATGCGTGGTCTTCTTTGTCTTGGGTCGAGTCGAGTCGAGTCCTTACATACATTCCTTTGGACGCAGACCACCGATACTTGCTTTGGGCTGTGGTGCCAGAACCAACCGTGCGGGTACCGCGGCAGCGCCGAAGTTGTCGGAAGCGAAGATTAGCTTCAAGCCAGCAGGAGCTGTAACGTGCTCGGGAGCTTGCGTCCTGGGAGGGACCGCGGAAAACGCCTCTACCGGACAGTAGAAGCAAGTGTAGTTTGTGCATATGACTTTATCTTCATGCGATCCATCCAGGTCTACCAGCTAGGTAGCGAGTTGTGCCGGTACAGCCAGTCGAGTCGGTAGGAGTACTGTACGGGCTTTGGCGTTGACATTCTTGGTGGATCGAGTGCGGCCGTGGTTGCGCTCAAGAGCCAGCGAGCTAGCTAACTATTGGTACGAGCAAGTAAGTTTATGGTCAATCAGCCAAGGCACGGTCCACAATGCACGGGGTTTTTGGATCCATGAGACCACTACTTATTACTCGAGGATACCTAATAATAATAAACCAGCCTAACTATGTAGCTAATAACAAACTATATTGTCACCTACTATTGTACGGTACTGCGCAATCGAATCGAATCGAATCTTTTCCAAATCAATAACTGCAGCCAGCCAAAACATCGGCACTCTCCCTTGTTGCGTTTTATTAGCTTAGTTACATGTAGTTTGAGCTGGTGACCAAAGGGGCTCCTTTTTAGAATGAAGGCGCCGTGAGATTTGAAGCTTTGTGTCACCGATTTACCTTACTAGCTACCAGGTACTAGTTTCGCCGGCTTTATTGTACTCAAAGATTATTGCCCAGCGAATGCATTCCCTCAGAAACAGAAGACAATAGCCATCCAACAACTCAAAACACACAACAGCCAAAAGCCAAGAACCCAGGATCTCAGAGCGTTGATGCATTGATTGATTGAAGAATTGACAACTAAATAGACAAAGACTGTGTGGATTGATTGACTGGTTGATTAAAATAGACTGTTGCTGTAGCTAGCCAACTAGTGATTTTGTCTTGGTCCAGTAAGTGAGTTCAATGCGAGAAACAAGAATTGGACAAGACCATGGCAGACCCGGCCATTGTTGACCGGGATGAGAGAGGAGTAAAGATAAAGTTCGAACTCCAGTGGACCACCTGATTCCTGCGTGTCCCAAACACCCCTCACATTGGTTTCTTTCTGCCAAACCCACAATGTTTCTCCTGGATAATAATTAGTTTGGATATTCAGCATGACAGCAGCACCTGTGTTTGGAAACCGTCCAGGCCAATCAGGCCCAGTCTGTGTGGTCAGAACAGGTGGAAACAGGGGGAGTTTCATTTAGGGAGCAATCACACCGAAGAATATAGCAAAGATGCTCTGGGACAGTTCCTGTCAAGCTATTCTTGTGCAGAGCCAGTGAATCCAACATTCCAACTTCAGCCGGGATCTGGCCAGATAGCTGATTGGCAGAAAGGTCATGCCCGTACAATGAGGACAGGAGCCCAAGCTCAGAGGGAATTTGACTGGTCAACCGATTCTCAGAAAGGTCAAGCTCTTTCAATGAGGTAAGGAGCCCAAGCTCAGAAGGATTTTGACTGGTCAGCTGATTCTCAGAGAGGTAAAGTACGGTCATTGAGGTCAGGAGCCCAAGCTCAGAAGGAACTGGACCGGTCAACCGATTCTCAGAAAGGCCAAGCCACCCCAATGAGGTCAGGAGCGGTCAGCTGATTCTCAGAGAGGTAAAGTACGGTTATTGAGGTCAGAGCCCAAGCTCAGAAGGAAAAAGACCGCTCAACTGATTATCATTCAACCGCAGCCTAATCAAAGAAGTAACTGCACCAAACTCAGAAGGAATTTGGCCGGTCAATTGATTCACAGCAAGCACAAGATAGGACAAAGAGGTCAGGAACCCAAGCTCAGAAGGAACTTGACTGCTCAGCTGATTCCCAGAAAGGTAAAGCCTCCACAGTGAGGCCAGGAGGCCAAGATCGGAAGGAATTTGGCCGGTAAACAGATTACGTGACAGGGCAAGCTCTGTCAATGAGGCCAGGAGCCCAAGCTCAGAAGGAATTTGACTGGTCAGCTGATTCTCAGAGAGGTAAAGATGGTCCAATGAGGTTAGTAGCCCAAGTGCAGAAGGAATTTGACCGGTCAATCGATTCTCATGAAGGGCAAGACTTGTCAAGGAGGTCAGGAGCCCAAGCTCAGAAGGAAAATTTGGCCGGTCATCTGATTCTCAAAAAGCTGAAGCAGCTCCAATGAGGTCAGGAGCCCAAGCTCAGAAGGAATTTGGCCGGTCAACTGATTGTCAGTAAGCCAAAGCGCCGTCAATGATGTCAGGAACCAAGCTCAGAAGGAATTTGGCCGGTCAACGGATTCCGTGAAAGGGCAAGCTCTGTCGATGAGGGCCAGGAGCCCAAGCTCAGAAGGAATTTGACTGGTCAATCGATTCACATAAAGGCCAAGCCAGTAAATCGAGATCAGGAGCCCAAGCTCAGAACGAACGGACCCGTCAACCGATTCTCAGAAAGTCCAAGCCTTTCCCAATGAGGGTACAGGAGCCCAAGCTCAGAAGGAATCTGACCTGTCAGCTGAAATGTCCAGTAAGCACATAAGCCAGCTGCTTGTCAGAGCACCAAGATCAGGAAGGAATTGGACCGGTAGAACTAGATTGTTGAGAAGCGGCAAGCTTGTCCAATGAGGTCCAGGGCAGCACAAGGAATGACGGTCAGCTGATTCTCAGAGAGGTAAAGATTGTCCAATGAGTCAGCGTCAATCAGAGCGAGGTCACCATTCAAAACTCAGGCCCAAGGCAGAGCCAGTAGAGGAACGGCGTCAACTGATTCTCAGAAAGGCCAAGCCACCGCCAATGAGGTCAGGAGCCACAACTATGGAAGGAATTTGGCGGTCAATTGATTATCTCTCTCTTTTG